CAGTGACAAGCCACCCAGGCTTTGAGGCTAGGCCAGCACATGTCACAGCAGGCGAACTGCCAAACTCGGCCTGCCGTTGTGTGGTGATACAGAAATGTCCAGATCTATTCACATTATTTGATCATTATTTTGTGGGCTGCTGGAGCGAGACAAACAAGAATGTTCACGAAGAGAAAGCTGTATCACCACAACTTGGCTTAGGCCTAGCCTAGTCCGAGTAACTTGGACCCCATATCACCTTTTTTAACATTTGGACATACATGGTCGGGCGATATGCAATAGTAGGGTCCAAGTACCTTCCAAAGCCTTTTGCTTCAAAGTTCCATTAATTCATTTCCTCTTCCTACCCCAAGTCAAAATCCTCCAATTCCAAATTCACCTCCAAAATGGTCCTTAAACTGTTTAAGGTGCCCGGATTAGGATCAAGTGAGAAACGGAGATTCCAATAATGAAAGGGTTTACTCACATTTGGGAAGAAAAGAGAAATTTCCCTTCAAATCGAAAATGGTCTTGTCGTCGAGCGTGATGTCGCCATCTTGTTCAAATAGTGATTTGAGCTGAGCTGTATGTTAGTGTCTAGGGGCAATGTCATGGCGCGGCGGACCATTCACAAAAAGCATGCCATGTCGGTACACGGGAGGCGACGACTGATTCCTGAGCGTTGTATGTCCGGTGTACAGTTTCGATGTGATCACAGCTAGTTTTGTTTGGTGCGATTGGCCAATTTGCACAATCTCCTGACCTCTCAAGTCTCATTGTGATTTGTCAGTCCTATATGAAATCCGTGGAAAGAGTTCCATACATGGACATCCTGATACCTTGTGACACTAGTCTGAAAATTTTCAATTTTTTTTCTTACCATTCACATGATTTAAAGCAATTTTGATATCTGAGGATTAGAGGTGTCTGCCTAAAATTCAGGGGATTGCCCATTTTACTTGTTAATGTGGAGTGCCGTGTGGCCTTGTGGTAAAGAACATTGGATTTGTAGTCAGCAGGTCAAGCCGCAGATTGCGGGTTCGAATCCAGCCTGGGGTAGGCCTAATCTGCTAATGGTGCGTGTGCCCCTTGGGTAAGGCCCTTTGTCACTCATTGCTTAGTCCCCACCCAGGAGTAATTGGGTGCCTGTGAGGGCAGAGATGGTTATTGTGGTTGATTTAGCTGCTTTGCGCTGAAATGGCTTCATGGAGCTGTATACATGTACTCCTCTGGGAACTGAGTGGTGGGCCTATTTAGAATGTTTCATGGGCCCAATCAGGAGGGGTGATAATTGAAAGCGCTTTGATCTCACTTAAAAACATGATCTAAAAACCTGTGCCAAATTCACAGGCTCAAGTAGGCTAAATCAATGCTCCTTATTCAGCAGTGGATACCTGTATGGTTTGGGTGATCGAACATGTCAAATGATGTGTACTGGTAGGTTTATTTGTATTCCTGGTTTAAAGAAAATAAATGCATAGATAA